CGCGACGTCCTCGTTACTACTACTCGCTTTGTCCCGCTTCTGTAAGTCGGCTCCTCGCTTGCGACTCCCAATGTGAACTCGTGCTGACCGGTGAACCTCATTCAGCCAACGCTGCCTGCGAATGCGGCTACTCCGTTAACAGTACAAGCGACTCCAACTATGCCGTCTTTACCGAGCTCATGGAAAATGACTTCTTACATACTTCGACCGACGACTTGAAAGAGGTTGGCTGGCAGCCGCAGGAATACAATGTTACTTCGACGAACGCTAGAGGGCCTTTTGGAAAGAGTATGGAGTTGACCAACATTGTCACAAACCCGTTCAAGAAAGGCTGGTCGGGCGATGCGGACCATGGCGGTGATGCCGGACTAGAGTTGTGGGTACGCGGTGACCATCAAGATGGTCTCGTTAGCGGTGCCGAGCTTGTCACGATGCGCAACGACTCTCTACTCGGAAGCTTTCGTGTCGGCATGAAACTGTCGAACTCCTCGGGAACTTGCGGCGCTTTCTTCTTCGTAAGATCCCACACCCTCTTCTTCAGTCTGAAACGCGACTAACAAGCACAGTACCACAACAACTCGCAAGAAATTGACATGGAATTCCTTTCTCACCAGTTCAACAACTCCCAAGGCGCCGTAAACCTCGTTCTCCAAAGCCCGGAATCCGTTACGCACGGCTACGCTGCTCAAGGAACAAACGGCTTCGAAGTCAAGGCTCTCCCTTTCCGTCCGGACGAACTGTTTCACGAGTACCGTTTCGACTGGACCCCTAACCGCGTCGCCTTTTACGTCGATGGTGTATTCCTCCACGAGATGACCGAGAACATTCCCACGGAGAGCGGCGGCATCTTCCTGAACCACTGGAGCAACGGTGACCCATCATGGTCTGCTGGACCCCCGGATCGCGACACCGTCATGACCATCTCGTACATGAAGTCATACTTCAACTCGACCGACACCGAGCGCTCACAAAACGACTACAAGAAGCGTTGCCCGACATATGACCCAGCCAAGGTCTGCGCTATTCCCAACCAGATGAGCCCACCGGATCAGAGCAAAGGACCCGAGGCAGCGAAGACCTACTTCTTCTCGCAAGATGGAGACGACATGACACCCGGTCAAACAACATACACCGGCAGCGCGACCAGCATATTCGGAGCGCAGTCATTATCGATCGTGGTCCCATTATTCGTCACACTTCTCAGCTTAACGCTGGCGTAATAAACACTATCAGGACAGTTAATACCGCTTCCTCTCACAAGCGCTTGTTCCCTATATCTGGGTTCATGGGCTGGGAACTCTTACGAGCATACGACCACTTCTACAGCGTTCTTGGAGTAATACGACTACTGCAGTCCGATTTGCACTTTTCACTTCGACTTCTACACGGGCTCGTCTTCGCACCGCCTCACCCTTTCTTTGATTCAGCAACATACTCATGGCGCAGCACCGCCTATAGTGTCTTTACTCTTTTATATTTTCTCTTCTTGTATATACCTTTCCCAGGGGGTTCTGCGCAGCCAGTCCCTTTGCCTACGCCTTCTGCCCTGGTCCAGCAGCGGCTCCTTCTCTACCTCGGCCCTTTGTGGCAGAGATTTTTTTTATTGTATCGGAGTGCACTCCGCCGGAAGCTGTTGTTCCACAACCGTCCTTTCGGCCCTCATACCCCCATGCCGCATACCATCGCGTCGCCTGTTTTTGCATTGGAAAGAGAAAAGAATCGGAAGATACCATCTTAGACCATTATGCGTCGATATATCCTAGCCTACGACAGCTACCATAAGAAAATTAAGCAATTCAACTCAACCTTTGCTCTTGCAGTCGTTCGTGTCATCTCATTTCTGACACGTACTCTAGAATGAAAAAGGGTGTTGCCCTGCATCTCATCAATTGCAGAGATCCCAGTTTGCAACAGCTGTACCTTGCATGCGCGCAAGAACTATTCAGCTAGCATCGGAGTTGCGATGAGTGATATCCTGCTCAGTGGAGCTGGCCGGACTACGACCAACGGAGCCTCACTCCGGAAGCGTCGGAAGACCCTCCACCGCGTCTCGACCAGTCCACGACCAACAACGCCAATCAGACGCGCTATGCAAGCCTATCGAAATCTTGCCCTGCTGTCGGGACGCGTCCGCGACTTAGCCGTCAGAGAACATGTTCGCGGCATGTAGCTCATCCGACGAGCTTGCCAGAATTGCCTGAAGATCTTGCACCTCAACTCGACGCGAGTCTCAAACTACGGCTATAGACCGAACCTACGAGGCCCGGGATACCTCCCACTGCGACCGCTAAACTCTCCCCGGTGTTGTTTTGCACTTGCACGCTGACGCGCGGTCTAGTGCCGTACCCGCGCCAAATTTCTGCTGTGGCGTCTGCCGGTGCGTTTCGGTACTTGGGGTTAGCTGCACAGTCCAGTGACGTAATGGGCCTGTAACTCGGCGCCGTTGTACACCGGCAATTTGGACTCTAATGTTGGCGGAACGGCGGTTGCTGAGGACGGCCCAGGTACTCCCGTGATAGTGGGGCTACGAGTCTATTGGGAGCTGAGAGTGGCGAGAGGATGTTCTGACACTTCGTCGTGAGATGACACGATGTTGGGTTTGTAATCTCACCTGTCGAAGTGAGTCGCTATGAATGCAACCTCCCTAGGCAATTGATATGTTTTGGTATTCAGACTACACCGAGTCTTTACTATCGCTGCTAAATCTTCCAGGCTGCATCGGATCCCCTCCTGCTCCTGTTTGCATCCTGCATGAAGCTTGTGTGTGCGCACCCCCTGCGTTGCTCAATCTCTTGCTGGAACCCAAGCTTCTGTATAGCGGCAATCTTGCTCTCTTCGGGGTACACTATCGCGCGGGAGAAGGCTTGTTCTGATTTGGCATTGCATTAGCGTGCGCGGGTGGTGCGATGAACCAGGTCGGCGAGACCGTGTTGTCAAGACGACGTCCGACTTCGATTGCGGCTTGCATAGCCACATTGCGTTCTCGACTTACATGCATGGAACTAGTGTTCGAAGATTCTCAGATCAGTTAACGGCTATTCCCAGGACCGACGACTTCAGTACACAGTGAACGATAGCCTAAGGACTGCATCACGGATATGGTGAATGGACATGATGCATGAATAGGAACTCGTAAGTATGTTTTCAGTCGCGTGAGCTTTCAGGTATGCCCAACGACCCGCAGCATAAAGGATGCCTAGGTGTCAAATAACGCTGTGGGATCAATCAGGTAAGTTAGAGCCATCTCCAAAGCCGTACCATGGTCTCAAAGCAGGAGCTGCACCTTCCCGTAACGTAGAAAGGCAGTCGCAATGGAGATACTGGCAGTCACTTTCTACCCGCAAGGAGAGCCGCTCCTGTCGTCCTGGTTCAGAGTCCAGTCGCTGCATTCGCATCCTTATCGCGAGGTATCAACACTGCAGCTTTTCAACCACACTCTTTTCTGCACGTCTACGGTCCTTTTGGCTCCAACAGCTCGCGCGCGTCTCTAGGCTTTCGACTTTTGGCTCTTGGCTCTTTTGGCTTGTTCAGATTTTACCTGTTGTTTTCCATTGTACAGTACGATACATATCAAAATTCCAAGCGGCATTGGAACGTTGTCCTAACTTCGACGCGAGTACCTGCAGCGTTTTTTCTTCGTGCGTGGAGCTCGACTCTGAGAAACCATCCTATCTGCCGGTCGGTCTGTCAACTGTCAAGGTTGTGTTTTGGTGCTTCAGTCTCAATTCCCCACAATCGACAACAGCAGCCGAGCGTCCTCCTCTCACCTCTCGACACCGGACGTGATGCGCGTTCAAGATTTCCACATCCTGCTTTTTTCGGCAGTCGTGAGCGGTCGGCTCTTCGCCGAGTCTAAGTACCTGCCAGATGTTGAGGAGGCTACGACTACGATAGGCGCAAGCCCAGCTTCGGTTCCGACGTCGGGCTCACCTACTGTGACATCTATCGCTGGATTGGACGGCATTGAGTAACTTGCCAGTATAGAGAGTGTGATCTAACAGACACTAACGATGATACAGGCTCCGTCAGGGACCCGGCATTGCCCCAGTCGACGGTGCACTCGCGCCTGTTCAACAACCGCCTGCTGTCATTACAGCGATACCAGTTGCAGAACCTGCCCCAGCTCTTCCTGTCGATCCCGCGCTTCCCGTGCCTGCATTACCTGCGCCTGTAGCTATACCTGTTCCCGCTGTCGATCCGGTCGTCAATCCTATACCACCACCAGCTCTTGCGCCTCCTGTCAATGCTATGGCGCCAGCAGCTCCACCCATCAATGTTGCCGGGACTGCAGGCGCAGACGTTACGCGATTGGCGACACCATTCAGCAACGTACCCTTCTACACAGTGGTATGGGCCGAGACATGGATCGGCGGGACATATTCCACCTGGTGGCCATACACTATATCGCTAGACTTCAAGCCTGTTCAGACGAACGCACCACTTCCAGGCGTAGGATCGATCGGTATGGGTACGCTCACTGGTAAGACAGGAGTGACGCGAACGATCGTAGTGAACGCGGCGCCTACACAAGGAGTAGGTTGGGCCAAAGGCCTTGCTGCCGCTGTTGGGGTCGGTATAGCGGGCATGGCTGTATGATGACAAGTCATGTGCGGATGAGGGGCGTGATAATTTATGGAGGAAAGAATTAGATTTCATTCCAGTGGCAGATTTGGATCTGGACATACTAGTTGTCATGTATGGCACTTGAACGATTTACGATGCATGTATATTACGCGAAGTATGATAGCAACGGTCAACCTGACAAGAAGTAATCGGAGACGGATGTTTGACAACAACGAAAAGCTGCGAAGCGAGTGCGAAGATCCTCTCCATCCTAGGAACAAGAAGACAATGCAATTATGAGGATATGATTTATATGGAAGTCGTCCAGCACCACCAGAGCGGGTGATCTCTGAGCTCGCCATACGTTTTCCAACTTCCGATCTTGATCTTCCTTTCCATGACCTCCCTGGTACGCCACCAAATATTCCATGACGAACTTAGTCGTTGCAGGCGTGGCGGCCCTGAGCGGTGAAGAAGCTCACGTCCGAGGACTTTCCTCCAGCATTGCAGGGCTTGTCGTTCTCGAACAGCGGCGCGACGTTCAAGCAGGACCTGGTGCAGCCGCCATTGTTTTCCTACAACGTTGATCAGTCTCCAATTTCTCTTCATGAGGGGTTCGAGGGACTTACAGCGACACAGCAGTGGGAACCGTCCTGGTACAAGCACTGACAGTAGAAAGAAGCCTGGGTACCAACGGCCATGGTAAGGAGGAAGCCGAAGACGGCGGAGAGGCGCACCATTTTGATGTTGGTCTGGAAGGAAAGAGAGATGGTGCGGTCTGGAGTTGAGTGAATGGATGGAGAGGACGAGTATAGGTACTTTATACAATCCAAGACATCTAGTGGTCAGAACGGATGTATTGACTGAGTGAATTCCGGATCAATAAGCCAGTCTATCTTGCAGATGACTGCGGTGGAATCAAGTGTCGCGGTCATCGCCATTGTTTCCCTCACATCTGAGGGCCGAACAGAATACGACCTCAGGGGTGTTCTGATTAGACGAAGCCATGCGATGAACAGGGTAGTTACCACGCGAAGCCCAAGTACACCTCGTATACCATAACCACGTGTTGAGGACCAAGGCCTATCTTGGCTTAGAAAGACAAGCTCAGCTAAGCTAAAGGGTCCAGTGCCTGGGCTACTGCTAATGGCCACCGAAGTGTCGACGAAAGATGTACCGATGAGGCTTTAGATCTCCTCTGTTGCTTGCAGTTTGCGGTGTGTGAAGAACAGTATGGGGAAGGAAGCCGAGATTGGTACCTAGTTGAGCAGGTAGTAGAAGGTCCGAAAGAGATACACGAAAAGGTCCGAAAAGAGACCAATCAATCCGCTTTACCCATGTTGCTATCACGATGCTAACGAAATGCTTCGCCTTCAGGTCAATGTAATAGATACAGGAGAACATGTTAAAAAGGCAGGTGATCTCGCCTCTGCAGAGAAGATATCACAGCAGCCAGCAACACTTCTCTCACAACTTCAACACCCAACCCTACTTCAACTTGCCCACTCTCTTCTCAATCCGTCATCATGGTCCGCATTCTCTCCGTTGCCGCGGTCTTCTTCACGATCGCGTTTGGTGCTCAGGCTTCCCACATCTGCCAATGTCTCTTCCAAGATGGCTCGCACTGCTGCGCCAGTGTTGTAAGTCTTTCAAAGCTCTTGAATATGAAGATCGAGCTAATTGCGGCCTCGCTCCTTCACAGAACAACTTCGGTGCTGCGGAAGACTGCCAGGTTGTCTGCGTGGACAAGAAGCGTAACAAGGACGGCGTAGCCTGCAACGCTGGCGGCAAATGGTCCCACGTTGGCGGCTTCACCGTTCAGTTCCGCGAGCCATGCCAGTAAAGCGATTCTGCCGGGACAGCCGTTGAAGGCATGGTGGAGGTGTGTGGAGCATAATGGGAGGCGGCGGCATGAGCGTGATGTATTGAAAGTGGAGCATATGGTCCTTGTGGATCGTCCAAGTCGTTTAGTGAGAGGGTCGGCTCTACTAGGATAACACGTCTGTATCGTCAATGTACTATCGTTCTCATCAAATGCAACCTAAACCACATGCAGAGGTAGGTTTCTGAGCTCAATGTGCTAACGTTTGATTGTCATCACTGTGTCGTTCGATGCCAGCTTTGGAGTAAAGGAGTGATGGCTGATGGGGATACGACACTTTCCGTAAGCACGGCGGCAGGTTAGTGTCCACACATGACGCCTGCTGCGGCCCGTTGATAGGTAATCCCCCCGCGGGCGGGGTTAGCCTGCCAATGCGTCGTTCCCAAAACCGAAGCGCCGACTTAACTTTGCGCTCTGCCTGCGCGACACACGTACTCTGTAAACATGGAGGCATCCGAGAACTGCATTCGAAAATTTATCGTGCGATGAGTGTGACAACCATAGACATAACTACAATGATCTCAGCTCAACAAATGGCGGTGGAGTGATATCCAATGGTATGTGGCGCGACGTTCACGCTACTCCCAGACGATCTTGCCCTTTTCGGACCGAGGCTTGGAATCTTAACGTGACGGCGAGCAGACGACGATACTGACGATAAGGTGATTGCGATTGATATGAGACACGAACTGCTTTGTATAAGAATTGGATCAATCCGACAGTGTTGCATAACATAGTTCCAAGCTTATCATCATCGTTTGTCGGAACTCCGTCAGCAACAACTCTCCGAGTCAGCATCACCCGATCGGGACAAAGACGAATCAAGATATCAACGAAGAACAGCATACCGTCATAGTATCTTGAAGGAACATATATCGACTGGAAACCAAACAACTTGACCCACAAGAGCTGTGAATTGCGAGTGGTCAACCTCGGGATACATCAACGACAATCTCCAAGCACCGCTATCGATCAACCATCTCCAATTCATCGCCAGGCTAGACAAACAAAGGAGCAAAATCGTCGAACATGGCAACAGCATACTACTACGCAGCACATTTCAACATGCCCAGAACGCATTCGACCGACGCATCACCGTTCTCTGGGAGTGCGCCGAGTTCGGCCTCACCATTATCGCTCATCCCAGCTACATACGAACCACTACAGGACCAGCCTCTTGTCTCTACAGCATCAGAAACAACTCCAATGGAAAGAGGCGCAACAGACCCCCAGAAAACCTCAATCCTCTTCCGTCTACCGGCAGAACTCCGAAACCAAATCTACGAAGAGCTCCTCTGTCCGAACACACCGCACCACAAAGATCTCGCTACATACTCCACGCCATCCAGGCCTCCAATGGTCTACCCGGCCATCCTCGGCGCATGTCGCAAGATCCACGAAGAAGCCCAGGATCTACTATATACCACACATGTCTTCCACGCCCACCGCTCTCTCCTAACAGCCCTACCACATCTGATCCTACCCGAGAAACCAATCCTATCTCCGACCAGTATTGCGAAGATCACGCGCTGGCAGCTTGAACTACGTCTGGATACTGATCCCCGGTTTACCAGCAGTCAAGCTACAGCCGCATTCTCTGGCGCGGAGTTTCTCCAGATCAAGGTCTGGCAGAGTATGTTTGATGGAGCGGATAATTCGGTGTTGAAATTGTTTACTGGGGTGAGGGGAGTTGGTGTTGCGAAAGTTACGGGGTGTGATGATGAGGGGCTAGCAAGGTGGTTGGAGAAGAGGATGATGATGCCGATTGAGGAGGAAGAGGGCAGGGAAAGAGGGTGCTGTCAGTGTGGAAAGAAGGCAGATGAGGAGATGGAGTGGTTTGGTGTGACTAGAGATGCTTGGACGTTCGGAAATAGGTAGGGAGGATGACGTTGAGATGACTTTCGATTGTACCTAGGTAGTATAGAGCATTTCCTTTTCCTAGAGTTTGTTACGCTGGCATCACTCAATCAGACCAATGAACTTAGACTATTGTAGCTTCAAAATGGAATGAATTTAGCTTCAAACCTGCGGGTCTTTACGGCTTTCACATTGGATGTGACTATCATTCTTTTTGGATGGGTATCAAGTGTTGGGGAATCGAAGGAAGGACAAAAGAAATTCCAGAAAGTCTTGCTCTGATCAGATGAGTAGCATATCGAATGCTGACCCAGAGCCTTGCGTTAGACCCTGGTGATCTACCGCAGCTCTTCCCTCTCATCCTCTTCGTCGTCCTCAATCTTGGCGCAAGGGAACGCGCACTCCATTGACCGTTGCTGCACATGATTGTTAGCAATGTGATCCTCGTATGTGAACCCCGAGGAATGACATACCCTGCTTCCGTTCCCACTCTCCGCCCAGGAACCGGTGTTGCACCATGCTTCGGGGTGCAACTTCTTGCTCCCGCCCTCGGTCGCCCACTTCAGCCCATCGTATTCAAAGACCAGCGTGTCTTCTCCATCGGAGCCGTAGATAGTCAACTTGGTGTCATCTAGCAGTCCATCGATCTCGAAGATCTGCGTCGCAGAGACCTTCACATACGAGTTGCGCTCCGTCCGGGGTCTCGAAGAAGCGAGATCGATAGTGATTCCGTTCATGTGGTCTTCCAAGCTGTCGACTTGGACGTAGTTGATTTTCCCATCGCTTGCTGACGCTGGACGGGCAGCGGTCATGAGTTGCTTGTGAAAGAGGGTGAAGGTGCATTTATCGGCCAGCGATGTAGCGGACGACGATAGCAATGACTGTGCATCACCACGGGGGAGAATGCGCGGGGGTTGAGGAGGGAGGACGCGCGCTGCGCATAGTGTGGGCGCGAGGAAGAGAACCGAAGAGAGGACGGCGAAGGTGTTGGTGTGCATCTTGAAGACCTGCTTGCTAATGCTTCTAGTAGTGTTGGGTATTTGTTTCGATGAAGAAGAAGTAGAGTTGATGACGCAGTCAGTCAAGTGAGACAAAGACGAGCGGATAACCGGATCCAAGGCCAGCTGGAAGATGCAAGGGAGAGTGAATGCAGGTACTGTACGCGCTGACGAGCAGGTACTCTTGTACCTTATTAAAGAGTAGAGAGATTTCGTTTCAGAGTAACTACGCCGGACTACCCGCCCTTCACCCTGTCTATCTGTTCATCGCTACTATTTTGGTGTGGCGATCCCGCTTGAGTACTCGGACCATGCGGCGGTTGTGCAAGGCTGATATGCGGGGTTGCGGCACGGTGGCTCAAATAGAGTGTTCGGCGGCAGCGTCAGCGGCAAGCATCCACTTTGTGCAATGAGGTGCATCGTAGAGCCGCAAGGAATGTGAGGGCCTGCAAAGAATGTGAGTTCATGAGGGCGGCGCGGGTTAATGCGCTGGGCAATGTTATGTGAGATGGGCGGTGCTCAATGGTCGAGGGGGCCAGGAAATTGGGAGCGGCGCAATGAAGTCATGATCATCGTAGAGATGGCCTTAACATCCTTGAGGCATGCGCATCTTCGAGATGATAACAGAGGAAGGCGAAGATACGTCATATCCACGCTGGCTTGAGCTCTTGACTTCGCTGTTTCAAGTCTTTGGTGTTCCCTATCCATAACGAAGATCGCTCGTTCTCCAAGAGACCACCTCAATCAAGTAAGAACTGAACACCCTGGAGCCTATATCGACGCAAGAGAGCATCTGCATATCCACGGCCACATCACCTCAGAGCTCAGCAAGGTCAACATCGTGCGCGCGTAGATACATCAGCTTGGCCTCCACGTGTTGAACGCCCTGGTGAGCGCTCTGGAGATTAGCGAAAGAAGGCCGGCAAAGATACCTACGACTGATGCAAACAAGTCGCTGCGTCGCTTGGAAGGAATCTATATCAGTACCTTTGCCATTTCGAAGCTTCTGTGATCACCCGGGCGGTAGCCATTGAATGCTGTAGGTAAGATTCAGATTCAATACTGCTTTCGAGACAAAGCAAGGATATTTGGGTTCGCATGGCCGCTTGTCGCAGTGTTGGGCAAGGGTACATATATTAGCGAGTGATGGGCAACGTTCGTCTCATCTTCACACGTCGTTCCCAACAAAGTATAATTTTTCGATCGGTGAATATGTGCCCAGGTGCGCAACAGTCGCGTACTGTACAAAATCAGGGTCCATGGTGTTGGACGTGCGCAGGGGGAGAAAGGGCCATTTCGGGATGCCGAATCGGTAGTTGTGGGGCCGAGCGTCTCGAAGTCTGACGTTGAACACACAAGTTGGAATTCGTCATCCTTCTCAACTAACTCACAGCCAAACTCCGCCGTCGCAATGTCGCGCCCCTGCCAGCAACGGCGCGCCAGTGCGGCTGCCAACCGGAAATCCAGAGGGTCCAAGCCAACCGGACCGCCCCCGATACGACACAAAGCACGGCAAAAGGCGATACACAACGCGCGACGCAGCGAGCGCGGCGGAGCACGTGGAGGCCGTGGTGGAGGTCGCGGAGGAGGAGGCCGTGGTGGTGGCGCAGGACGGGGTGGGCGAGGAGGCGGACGTGGCGGACGTTTTGCGCAGAAGAATGGCAGGAACGAATCGGGCCAAGACTTCATACCTCTCTCCTCTGGTGGCAATAACTTCGAAGCGCTCTACAGGTCCTCACGCAACGACGACTTTGATCTCGACATGGACGGCGACAGTTCCGACTCAGACCAATTCGGCGACGACTTACTCGACGACGACATGTATGAGGCCGAGGACATTGAGATCAACGTACAGGCGCCACTGCCCACGACCGGTCGAGGAAGACAACCACGAGCGCAGACAATGTTTACCGAGGCAGCCGCGGTCGCAGTATACAGGCAGCTCTATCTGCGCGATTACCCACTCAGTACCTCAACCACGCGAGTGCGCTACGGTCTCTACCAGGAGGACACCTCTGCTGATTCGGCCGCATACATCTCCCTCGCACCATCCATAACGTCTCGGCGATCGAGCGTCATTAGCATCAGCAGCGACACAAGCGAAGAGTCCACGGATGGACCGACAACACCGGAGTACAATCCGGCACGCGACTACGTCTTCACATTCGGTATGCACAGGGGCAAGCGGTTCACCGATGTGAACGAAAACTACATCAAAATGATCGGTGGTCAGCTATACAAATACAGGGACAAGCATGCGGGCCTTTTGGAGGCATTCGAATACCACAGGCCGGGGCAGGCACGTCTTCGGCCAGACCAGACTCAACCCCAACAGACACAAGCTCAGCTATCGCAGCCTCCCACACGGAGCGCACAAGGGTCTCGATCGAACGCTCTTTCGGCATCAGACACATGGAGATTCCACAAAGGCATTCACCTGGGAAAGCGACTTCATGACGTACCTGAAAACTATCTACGAACGCTAGAGGGCAATCCCCTGGTCAGAGACGCCTGGCCTGGCTTCAGACAAGCACTCCAGGACTTCAATGCCAAGACTGGTAGAAAAGGTCGGGTTTGATCACACAACAGCCGTACAATAGCTGCCCCCACGTGGTTGCGCCTTCTACGAGCGTTTGTTGGTGGTCCAAGCGGGAATTTTAGGACTCACCTTATATGAGCTACCTATAACCTTGGAACTTGCAGAACCAGCAACTCACCGCGGCCGCGAACCTCTTTGTCTGAACTGTCCGAATGCGCGGGCTTACTTTATCCTAGACTCGCTAACTTGTGACCTCCAATAGTACCGCATCTCGCTTCACCATGGCGAGAGGCGCAAAACGTGCGCGAGCGGATTCCGAATCGTCTCAGTCTCAGCCGCAGCTTCCTACCAAGCGACAGAGGGAACCGGAAGTCATGGCAGCGCAAGTAAATGAGGAGGCTGACGACACTACTGCGGCGGACGACGTGCGATATATGAGAACGCAGCCAAAGGCCCAGGCACCTACCGAAAGCTCCCGAGCCAAGTCCTTCCCCACTCAGACATCCACAGAAATTGACTTGATGCTGAGCGACGAGCTTGACGATGTGTTCCCCTCATATTCATCGAGGTTGAAAGCTCCTCAGGATCAGGCTGACGACACTACTGTGCCAGACGACGTACGATATATCGCACATGTTCTTGCTGGGCGCGAAAAAGCGTCACTGGAGATGGAGAAGAAGGGTATGGAGATGGTGGAGAAGAGTATGGGGTGGGACATGAGTGTCATGAACGCCCAACCCTCACATACGTCCATAATGTTCACCCCTCAAGAGGCAGTAGCCTTTCTCTGCCAACCTCCGCTTGCGATCACCTACGATCTTCCGACTGGCGCCTATATACCGTGTCAGTAACCTCCCTGTACGCACCGTATGTGATATCAATACTGACTTCGTCCACTCATCTTAGATCCCGTTAATAGGTCGTACTTCTTGGGCTGGTGCGGTCGGTACGAAGATACTCGTGTTGCTATGCATACAAGTCTTCCTTATCGTCCCTCTGGCTCTGACAGACGCGACCCTCGCACTGACTACCCCAGCTCAGACCACACGGAGGCACACTATCGCTTCGTTTGATCTCAGGACAGCAACACGGGTTGGCCGATTGCGATGAGTAGGATTTGGGTCTCTTTGATTGAACCTTCACAACGGCCGCACTCGGGACATGAGCATTATCAGCCACGGTTATCATGACTGGCTTATGTATGGACACGGTGTGACACTTCAGAGATGAACATGGCGCTTGCTGGTGGAGAGTAGCCCCAGACTTCAGGAAAGCAATGTAAATTATACACCTCAATTGAACGTGCACGTGATGCTTCTTAAAAGTCAATTGAGCTTATCACAAAAGTCCAATAGATGAGCTAAGGTGCTATCCACCCGACACAGGCCATGGGCCAGCGTATCCAGGGCTTATGCTCCATGGGCAGAGCTTCGAATATTCCACTCATAACATGGTGTGTCCACCCTTTCATATACCAGAATCTTTCCATGTCGTGCATCAAAACGACAAAGTGCGCGTAGATGATGAGTGGCAGCGGATCGCATCGTTGTAGGCGATCGAGAAAGCCGTCGCTCATTCGGTACAGCCATCCAAACACCACATGGTATTCGCCGTCTTTGCCAGTGTAACGATTTGAATACATTTCCTGTAGGATGTGTACACTAAGCACGTTATCGTCGCGATCAGAAGCTTCAGACGCGATGCCAATATGCTCTTTCAGCTCTTCAAGATGCTTCTCGTACTCAAATGGCCCGTCTGTTGGTGGTAATAGCCGACCCTTGTTACGGACTGCCGGCGCATGTGTCTTCGCGAAATTGTCTATCTCAAAGGCGCTGAGTGTCGTTCGGATTCCACGGAACATGACCAGCCACTCCGATCTACCATGCTTACCAAAAGCAAGGTATTCACCAGCCTGCGGTCCTCTTGCCCAACTGACGAAGCAGATCAGCTGAACAGATTGAAGGACCGCATCGCAGTTGGCGGGATTGAGTTTGGCTATCTCTGGAGTGACAAGTGCTAGAGCGCATTCGTAGTGATGGTTTGAAGTAGCGATATAGGATTCTCTGCGGTCTGGCCGGCACGTAGCGAGATGGAGAGCGGTGAACGCGAATATGAGGTGTAGAACGTGTTCGTTTTTGAATGCGATTTCTTCTGTGCTTGATTGTACGCGAGCAGCGCCGGCAGGCCATGCTGATAACGAGTGGCAGGTAGTCGTCGTCCAGTGATATGTAAGTTCAATCTCAGAGAGTGGAAGGCCACCGGGTTGTCGTAGGCCAGTGATTTCTGGAACAGTACTAGACGTTGCCGGGTACTCGCAGCGGACCTGCCGCCTTTTGCAATTGGTACAGAATGGCTTGCCCTCATCGCACTAGATATCGTGTTAGCACGTTGAACGTAAACTTTGTCCTTGAACGAGAGCTCGGCGTGCTGTATACAAGAAACTAACCCTACGCCTTGTTCAAGAGACGTCGCAAATGTTTTCGAGATACTCGAATACTATCTATGTACGTACCTTGATGCGACGCGTCTTGCAATGAACACATCCAGCCCGCGATTTGCGATGAGACTTCCTCGTTATCTTTGATGTTCTTGCCGTAACTTTCCCATTTTGCTCGTATGGAGAGGATTCCCGTGAATTCAGAAGAGACCCTCCTCTCGAAGTTGATGTAGCTTCCGTGAGTGGCGAATCTTGCTGCATGTTGGTGTTGCTGATGAGAGGATGTTGACACACCAGAATGCGTATTCTGAGCGAGGAGCGCGTATTAAGAGAGAACACAGCCGCTAGCGGCATACATCATCGCTTCTAGCGTGAACACCTTCCGCGAGGGCTGCGCAACGTCGCAAGCATCTCCAGCACCAGGAAACTCAAAAAACTGACCTGACTGACCCCTTCTCAACGCGTCACCTAACTAGGAGCTTTTTCGTGGCTAAAGCCCCCACGATGAGTGTGGCGGAGTCGCATTGATCGTTGCTGATCCGACGCGGGTTCTTCCCTCCGATGTTGACGCTAGGGCGCCAGTCCTCGCATTCGCTCGTGTTCTCTTAGAATACGCATCTTCCAGCAACAAATCTCTAGCACACCTATCAGGCTCCACTTAGCACAACTAAATTAAGAAGAAAGTGCCATGAAAAGCTCTCTCTCGTACATTGCGCCGAATTTTACCCAAACTAGCCGCGTCAGCAGTCTGAGTGCACATATAACCTCAGGATGACCCACTGCTTGCTCCAGGCTGAACCATCTTCACACTTCTCTTCGCGACTTTGACTCCTAAATTCCCGACTTCCACTCGAGCATAACAGACACAATGGGTCAACCAAAGCAGACCGAGCCCATTTACAACAAACCATCCACACCATCATCATCGGCCTCATCAACCCACTCAATACCATCCGTACCACCACCACCCTACTTCAAGTCGCAATTCATCTCTCCGTCCTCTTTCAAGTCCGCGATAAATGCCAAACTCGACAAGCCCGCCGTATCTCTCTTTCGTCTCAGCATTCGTATCTTCCAATTCGCTTTCGCACTTGCATCGGGCATATCCTACGCCATCGAATTGAGCCATGCGACAAGCACTTCGAAGACAGACTTTATATTCGCGCAAGTTGTTTTTGGCCTTACCCTGTTGGTGCTAGTCATCGATAGTGTAACAGTACGGAACTACCGTGTCACTTGGATCCCGGAATGGATCTTGGCGGTCTTGTGGATTGCTTCTTTTGGCCTTTTCTATACCATTTATCTAAACGGGGATATCGAGCAGGGGTACCAGAACGTGGATGTGGGGCGCATGAAGAGAGCTGTGTGGTGCGACCTCATTAACGCGCTGCTGTGGATGGGAAGTGCACTGTTCTCTTCAGTAATGTGCTGCTCGGGAATCAAAGCCACTATCAAGGCAAAGATGGAGAGACGAAGACAGAGAAAGGAGGCAAGGCGGCAAGTAAGGGAGGTTAGTCAGATGGAGCAGGGCGTTATTGGCGCATGATGTACAAACTACAGAGCTGGATATAATATGAGAAGAGGACGCATATCGATTACTAGTACTAGCGAAGGACATGCATACTTGGTATATAGCAAAATCATCCAACAACCATCATTCCACGTCAATCAAAGCAGCAATTATATACACACGAGAGATCAAATCATCTACTGGGATGATCGGACCTGCTCAATGCGGACGTTGTCATCCTTCTCGTAGCCGGAAGTCATGACGTTCTTCTCAACGTGCTCAATGTCGATGTGAGCGACCTCAGCCTCATCGCCATCGAAGATCTTGGCGACCTCCTCAAGAGTGGGACCACGGGTCTCGACGTAGAAGACAGTGACGAAGATGAGCTCGAGGAAGATCCAGCACTGATTTCAGTTAGTAAATAATTCATCTTTAGGATTGTAGTTGTAAGACTTACGGCGTAGATGGTGTAGAACTTCCAGGTAGGGTGCAGGTGCTCGAATCCGAGAGGGTTGACGTATTGGTTGATGGTCAAAGCGATCTGGATGAACAAGTTCATGATCATGAGACCCTTGGCACGAATCTTGAAGGGCAGAATCTCGACAGTGTAGGCGACAAGCAGACCAGACCAAGCCAGCGCGTAAGCGACGGAGAAGATCCAGATCATGGCAATGACGGCCTGACCAGCAGCCTTGCTCTTGGTAGCCTCCTGCTGAGACGAAGCGATAGTCCAGACGATGAAGGTAACGCACATGGCTGCGGTGGCAGAGATGAAGAGCGGGCGACGACCAACGCGGTCAACGAGCAGAGCGCACGAGACGGAAACGATGAGAGACAGAATGGTAAGACCACCGTTGATACCGAGCTGGGTGTCAGCGTCTGTGATACCAATGGAGTCGTAAACATCGGTGGCGTAGTAGGAGACAAGACCGTTGCCAGACCATTGGGAGAAAAGACCGAGAGATGCGAGGAGCATAAGCCTGTACCTGTTTCCCTTGGTCTTGAAGAAGTCGAAGTAGGTGGAGGTCTTCTGGTACTGGAACTCGAGGCGGAGAGTTTCCTTGATCTCAGCAAACTCGAATTGGACGGTAG